GGCAGTGAAAGTGGCCCAATTCAATTCCATATTTTTCTTTCCCCCAGTTATTGCTTTATAAGGAGAAATCTACCGGGGTTTTTAGGCTCTTTATGGTTTTCCCATACTCTATATATCAATTTTCTTATTATATGATTCAAAATTGATTTCTTTCCATGTTTTAATATACCGTATTTTTCGCTCCCATAGGATGCACTTTTTCCCTCCTAAAAAGTAAGAGAAAAAGTCTGTGCGTCTTATGGAGCAAATGTGTGTTCCCTGGAGCCAAATCGCTGTTGTCCTGTGCTCCTGGGCTGCTCTTTGGGGGTGGGGGGAGGAGCCACGCGGCTCTGCCGGCAGCCTCTGCTTTCCCCTGAAGTCCCGACAAGGTTTGCAAGGTTTGCAAGCAGAGGGAAGGCTGTGTGCTGCTGGGGTGCTTTTGGGGGTGGGGGGTGGGGAGCCACACTGCTCTGCCTACAGCCTTTGCTTTCCCCTGAAGTCCGGACAAGGTTTGCAAGCAGAGGGAAGATTGTGTGCTGCTGGGGGGCTTTTTGGGGGTGGGGGGTGGGGAGCCACACTGCTCTGCCTACAGACTTTGCTTTCCCCTGAAGTCCCGACAAGGTTTGCAAGGTTTGCAAGCAGAGGGAAGATTGTGTGGTGCTGGGGTGGAGGGTGGGGAGCAGCAAATTGCTGTCTCTCAGTGCCTCCTAATTCAACTGCAAAGGATTGCCTAACTGGATTCTGAGCTCCATTTGAAGTTTAAAAATAGCAAGTTTGGGGATTTCTTCAAGTAGCAGTTTTGGGGAAATAGTCATAAATACATGCAAAGCATCTCCACAAACCAGTAATAGTAATTTCAGCTAAAACTGAGCAGGTATCTGGCTCAGGAACAGTTTAAACTGCACAGCTATAACCAGACATCCTGTGTGTTTGTGTGTGGACCATGTTCCTAGCAGCTAATCTTTATTGCTGAAAAGAGGCTCTGATATTCCACTCCAACTCTATAATTCATTATACAAATTCTTACAAGTACAGTCCACCTATACCAAACCAAAACATTGTGTTCTCTTGTTATTGAATGGAAGCTATTTATCTTCCCTCTTTTCCTCCTCTGTTCTTTGCTCAGTCACTCCATTTTGAATCTTCCTTTCAAAACATCCATGCCTGTTTTGTGAAAACTTCAGAGATTCAGGAACTGGAGCGCAATCATTTTATCTTTAGCTTCACAGTATTTTAATATTCTTTTGGAAGCCGCCCAGAGTGGCTGGGGAGGCCCAGCCAGATGGGCGGGGTATAAATAATAAATTATTATTATTATTATTATTATTATTATTATTATTATTATTATTATTATCTTTTTGCTGTTCCTCCATACTCCCAAGCACTTCTCATTTGCACAGCCCTGGTTTCTCTCCCTGACTATTAATATTCTTGATTAGTAACAGTAAAATGCTCAAATTTTAGTTTTTGTGACTGCTGCCAATACTGACTTCCCAGTGATAATGAAAACAGCTACATTATAATGGAATGTGTCCTTTTTCCATTCTCATCATTATATACCATGGCTCGCTTTAAAGCAGCAAAGTGGACAGGAGCCACACACTTTGCTGTTTTAAATAGTTTAGTACAAAATTTGAGTCAGATTTTTTTCCTTGTTTTCCTGCTCTAAAAACTTGGTGCGTCTTTTGGTCAGGAGCGTCCTATGGAGCGAAAAATACGGTAATTGTCTTTAAATAGATTGTTTTCATTTGTCAGCCAGATTCCCAAATACTTAGTTTTATTTAGTGTTTCCAATCCTGATATTTTCCTTTAGTTCTTCTTTTTCCTGTGTTGACATATTTTTTGCTAGCATACTAGTCTTATTTTTATTTAACTTAAATCCTGCCACTTCGAAATTCAATGATATTCCTTATTATTTTGCCTCAACACCCCTAAGAATATTTTCTCCGAGTCCTGTTTTTTCTGTAGTTTTTTTCATGGAGCTCCAAGAGATGTTGAAGACCTTCTCCATGTCTATCAGCATCAAAATGGCTTTTTTATCTCATCTTGCTTCTAAATATTCTAAAATATCAATTATGTTTCTCATTTTATTATGCATGTATCTGCCTGGTAAGACGCCAGCCTGATCTCTGTGTATTATTTCATTCAATATACCGTACTTTTTGCACCATAACTTTTTGCACCATCACTTTTTTTCTCCTAAAAAGTAAGGGGAAATGTCTGTGCGTGTTATGGAGGGAATGCCTACGGGTGGCATGCCTATGGATTTTCCTCCTCTAAAAACTACATGCGTGTTATGGTCAGGTGCGTGTTATAGAGTGAAAATACGGTATTTTATAATCATTATTGAACAGTGATATAGGTCTATAATTTTTGATTAGTGTTGGATCTGCTCCTTGTTTGGGTATCAGTGTGATAAATGCTTGTTCCCATGATTTTGGTATTCTTCCTTCTTTTAAAATTCCATTTAGTACTGTTTCATTGGTTCTGATAATATATATTCTAACTTCTTATAAAATGCCGCCAGTAATCCATCCGTACCTGGGGACTATCTTTGCTTTTGAGATTTCTGCACCTCCATCATCGCTGTTGCTAGATTTAATTGATCTATTTTCCAATCTGCTATTGTCGGGAGTCTATTTTGTGCTATGTGTCTTTCCATTTTCTCCTCTTGGCCTTCTTCTGCATGGTAAAATTTCCTATAGTAGTTTACAATTTTTTTGCATATTTCTTTAGGATCTTCAATTATTTTTCATTTCTCAATTACTCTCTCTCTTTTTTGTTTTTTCTTCAATTGCCATGCAAGTAGCCTACCCGATTTATTGGAGCCAGTGGAGAGGTATAGAAATGGGGCTTCTGTTGGGAAGGGGCTGCCCCATTTGTGCTTCTCCAGGGGCAGGAGAATCCCTGCAGGGCCTCTGAGGCTCCCTTTCCTTCTTCCTCTCTCCCAGGACCCTGCAGCTCGTTTTGGCTCCTTGACTCCTCAGGAAGGATAAAAGGGATGGATTCTGCAAACCTAGTGAGGATGGAAGGGGGAAGATGGACGGTTGACCTGGTCAGGTTGTCTCCTGCATCCCTCCCCACAACTTCTGAGCGTTCCCTCCCAGGGACCTCTGAGAGATCTGGTGAGTTCCAGGGGAGGGGAGATGGGGACCTGGAGGGATGGGGGGTGAAGAGGGGAAGCTCTCTGGCCAGAAATGAGATAAAGCAGGGATTTTGCTGAGGATGGGGACCCCAACATAATGGGAGGCTTCCCCTCCAGCCAGAAAATCTCTGCAGGGCCTCTGAGGCTCCCTTTGCTTCTTCCTCTCTCCCAGGACCCTCTAGCTTGTTTTGGCTCCTCAACTCCTCAGGAAGGATGAAAGACACGGATCCGGCAAAGCTAGCAAGGATGGAAGGGGGAAGATGGACGGTTGACCTGGTCAGGTTGTCTCCTGCATCCCTCCTCTCAACCTCTGAGCGTTCCCACCCAGGGACCTCCGAGAGATCTGGTGAGTTCCAGGAGAGTGGAGATGGGGACATAGATGGATGGAGCCGGAGAGGAATTGGGGCTTGCTCAGTTAGGGGGTGGGGGGGAGGCAGATGGAGATGGAGAAGGGGAGCACCTTTTCGGGCTCCTCTGCCTGCCTGCCTGCCTGCCTGCCTGCTCCTTTGTCATCTGTAGGCAATTTGAGCCAGGAATAGGTCACAGCTCCCTGGCCACCACAGCTCAAAAGGTCTAAAACCAGTTCTGTGATCTGAATGCCCTGCCAATGTCAGACAACTCACTGATCCTGCTTTGCAGTTTGAATGCAGATGGGGCCTCTTTGTGTTGTCTTTTCCTTTTTGGAATAACTTCTTATTTGCTTTTAAAAACAAGGATCATAGGACTAATAAATGATACAGATATGTAGACTAAGTCTTCGCATGCCATTTGCATATCAAAAAAAGCAGAATAAATTTGCAGGAATATCTGTAACATATGGTTCATCATTAATGGTCAGTGTATGAGTTCTGGGTTCATGAATTGGTTTGAACTGAGTTATAGTCACTTTTCTCTTCTGTTGCTAATGAAAAAATGCAGTCTCCTCAAAGTGAAGAAAGTGATTTACGTATAAATTTAAATTTAGACCAACCAGATTGAGGCAGCAGCTGATGGGGAGTGTTCAGGTGAAGGTGTTGCTGTTTGTTTCACAGACGAGACGTGGACGTTCCATACATACCTGTATGTGATGAACTTCAACTCTTTGGCTTGAGACCAACAGCATCTGGGATTCTAACATCCCCCACCGTGAACCCAGAATGGAGGGATATCAACTGTTTCCTCTGTGAATGTTCTGCGTCTAGTCATGCCTTTTAGAACAATGACCAGGCTTGTCTGAACCACCCAGGCCTTCTTAAATGCCGGCTTCAGAGTTTTTAGGGAAGTTGATGTAAATTCTGTCAGGCTTGTTGTTTTTGCTTCTGTTTGCATTTGATTGACCAAAGACATGACTGACCTTGGAGATGGAGTGGATTCCAGGGTTGAGCCAGAACAAAATCCATTCCAGATAAAAGCCAAGCAATATGTCAGTGAATACCAGCCAACCAAAACAGTGAAAACTATAGAGAGGCCCCACATCTAACTATTTTTAGTTCTTCCTCTATCACAGGCATTCATTAACTTGGTTCAATGATCTGGAGCTCCATTTCTTCCTGAGGCTCTAATTCGCTTCTCTCTTCATTGCAGATGGAGATGAACTGGAAGGGAAGAACAAGGGGGAGCACAACAGAATCCACATAGCGGAGAAGTCATATAAACATTCAGAGTGTGGAGAGAACATCCGTCAAAGCTCCCATTCCACCTCCCGTCAAAGAAAGAGCTTCGTTCAGAGGGATAGCCTCACTGCACACAAAAGAGGACAGAGCAGGGAGAAATTGTATCAGTGCAGAGAATGTGGAAAGAGCTTCAGTAACCGCCGGAATCTCACTTTCCACCAAAGAATTCATACAGGGGAGAAACCCTATCAGTGCTTGGAATGTGGGAAGACCTTCAGGCACAGTACTACGCTCACTTCACATCAAAGAATTCATACAGGGGAGAAACCCTACCAGTGTTTGCAGTGTGGGAAGAGCTTCAGTCAGAGGAACAGTCTCACTTCCCATCAAAGAATTCATACAGGAGAGAAACCCTATCAGTGCTTCAAATGTGGGAAGAACTTCCGGGAGCGGACGAAACTCACTTTGCATCAAAGAACTCATACAGGGGAGAAACCCTATCAATGCTTCGAATGTGGGAAGAACTTCCGGGAGCGGACGAAACTCACTTTGCATCAAAGAACTCATACAGGGGAGAAACCCTATCAGTGCTTGGAATGTGGGAAGACCTTCAGGCACAGTACTACGCTCACTTCACATCAGAGAATTCATACAGGGGAGAAACCCTATCAGTGCTTGGAATGTGGGAAGAGCTTTCGTCAGAAAGGTGGTCTTGCTTTGCATAGAAGAGTCCATACAGGGGAGAAACCCTATCATTGCCTGGAATGTGGGAAGAGCTTTAGTCTCAGGCACAGTCTCACTTCCCATCAAAGAACTCATACAGGAGAAAAACCCTATCAGTGCTTTGAATGCGGGAAGAGTTTTGGGGATGGGGCCAAGCTCACTTTGCATCAAAAAACTCATACAGGCGAGAAACCCTATCAGTGCTTGGAATGCGGGAAGAGCTTCAGCCGGAAGTCCACTCTCATTTTCCATCAAAGAGTTCATAGAGGGCAGAAACCGTATCACTGCTTGGAATGTGGAAAGAGCTTTAGTCAGAAGGTGAATCTCACTTTACATCAAAGAATTCATACAGGGGAAAAACCTTATCACTGCTTGGAATGTGGAAAGAGCTTTCGTCTGAGTGGTGATCTCACTTCCCATCAAAGAATTCATACAGGGGAGAAACCCTATCAGTGCTTGCAGTGTGGGAAGAGCTTCAGTCAGAGGCACACACTCACTTCCCATCAAAGAATTCATACAGGAGAGAAACCCTATCAGTGCTTCAAATGTGGGGAAAACTTCCGGGAGGGGAGAAAACTCACTTTGCATCAAAGAACTCATACAGGGGAGAAACCCTATCAATGCTTCGAATGTGGGAAGAACTTCCGGGAGCGGACAAAACTCACTTTGCATCAAAGAACTCATACAGGGGAGAAACCCTATCAGTGCTTTGAATGTGGAAGGAGCTTCGCTGTTAGCTCCAGTCTCACTTCCCATCACAGAATTCATACAGGGGAGAAGCCCTATCAGTGCTTGGAATGTGGAAAGAGCTTCACTAATAGCTCCAATCTCACTTGCCATCGAAGAATTCATACAGGGGAGAAACCCTATCAGTGCTTGGAGTGTGGAAAGGGCTTCAATAACAGCCACCATCTGACTTCCCATCGAATAATTCATACAGGGGAGAAACCCTATCAGTGCTTGAAATGTGGAAAAAGCTTCAAAAGCACCTACCATCTCACTCGCCATCAAAGAATTCATACAGAGGGGAAACCAAAAAAGAGAAATAAACCAAAAAAATATTAAACAACCCTTATAAAATACAATTGTATAGAAAGGAAAAAGGGGGGAAAATACACTAAAAATACTGTTTATGACCTTTGTACCATATATATCATATCATTCATCAACATATAGAAAGGCAGGCTCCCCCACTTCTCCCCTGAGTGACCCCCTCTTCTCCCCATATCCAACCCTGAGAGATCCTTCCTTCCCTGCGTTCCTTGCAGGTCCCTCGCACCTCCAACTGTCCTCTTCCTGTGTGTGTCCTAAATTCAAAATAAAGAATCTTAATATAAAAAAATACAAAAAATAGATGATGATGATGTTAATGATAATAATAATTTATTTATACCCTTCCCATCTGGCTGGGTTTCCCCAGCCACTCTGGGCAGCTTCCAACAAAATATTAAAATACAGTAATCCATCAAATATTAAAAGCTTCCCTAAAGAGGGCTGTTGGATTACTGCCTGAGTCCGGCACGTTTCCTCTGCGCATAAATTCTTCCAAGCAGCAGCAGAGCGAGCAGCGAGTGCCTTCTGTGTGAGATAAAGGAAAAGTCCGCGCACTGTTTCTTCTATCTAAACACCACTTACCCCAAACACAGACCTTCACAGAACTCCCCATCAGCGAGGTTCCAGGCAGAGGGACAGTATTTCAATACAACTAATCCAGCCCGAACACTCTGACACACATGCTGGAAACAGACGTCTAGGTGCTTGGTCCTGGCCTTAAACTGCCCGGATTCTGCCAACTTCAGACAGAGCTGATTGTCTTCCAAAACAGTGACAGGCAAACAACTCTCTCCGCAGATCTCTTGAACCAAACACACATAGAACTCCAGGTCCCTGCAAATCTCAGAAAGCACACTGAACTCAGCCTCAGTAGATGAGAGCGCTATGAGACTTTGCTTTTGGGAACTCCACCCAACCAAAGAGCTCCCAAATCTTACCACCATACTGGACATGGACTTCCTATCTGCCAGATTCACCCAATCGCTATCTACCCAGCACGTCAGCTTGATGTTGCCCTTGACTGACAGCTTAAGGCAGAATTCTTTGGTATCTTCCAGGTAACGCAGGACCCATTTGATACCATTCCAGGCTTGCACACTTGGGCTTGAAGCTTCCCGGCTGAGCAGATTAATAGCAAACGCTATGTCAGGTCTGTTCCACTGGGACAGATACAATAGGCTACCCAGAGCTGACTGGAAGACCTCAGTGTTTTCGAACGCAGCGCGTTCTACTTGCTGATTGTCTTTCACGTAGCTAGTCTCCATGGGTGTCCTAAGTCTTGCACACTCAGACATTTGGAGCTTCTCAAGCAGTTTCTCAATCTTACCCGTTGTGAGGGAGAATACACCCAGAGACTCCATTGAGATCATCTCCTTCTGCATTGCCTCATACCCTTTGCTGGCTTCTTCCTGAGGCAGTTTCTGAACATCCTCAAAAGTTTCAGGTTCACACTGAGCCACACCAACCCACACACTTGTGGCTTCGAACCTGTCAGGCAGTTTACCCTTTGTGGCCCGGGTTCATCTCAGTGTGAGCTCTGGTACCGCCTCTGACCCACTAGGGCCAGCTAGACCATCCCCAGTGTCAGAGAACTCCCCCTCTGACCTGCTGCGTCTTTTGAACCTTACAGCTGGACCTGTGGGCAAGGACAGCTCACTCTTTGGCTCAGACTTGACAGTAGCCTTTGGAGGGGTTCTGGGCCGCTCCTGCTCTGGACTCTGTTCTTCACCAACAGGATCAGTTCCCTCCTCTTCCTCCTCATCTGAGTCAATAAGCTGTTCTGAAAGAACATCTGGGTTACCATGGATGCGTGCCCACCCACTTTGCTCACAAAACTCAGCACTGCTGCTCACAAGCAGCCGGGACTGGTTGCCATCAGGATATGCAAACCGCCACCCTCTGGTCCCTGGTTCATATCCCAAAAAGATCATTTTCCTGGACCTTGGGCCACCCTTTCTGCATTTGGCCTTTGGGATGAGGACCCAAGCCTCACAGCCAAAAACACGTAAGAAATGCACTTTGGGCTTCTTACCGTGCAGCAGAAAATAGGGCGTGTCCCCTACAGCTGAATTAAACACGCAATTCTGCGTGAACGCAGCAGCCTTCCAACACTCAGCCCAAAAGCGCTGTGGGAGTCCTGTGTCAAAAAGCATGGCAGCCACAGACACTTGCAGTGTTCTGTTCCTACGTTCAGCAACACCATTCTGTTGAGGACTGGGTGGTGCTGTCAACCTGTGACTGATTCCCTTCTGGAGGAAGAAATTCTGCAGGGCAGACCCAGTAAACACCGCCCCCTATTGCTCTGAAAGCTAATCAATTTTGTATAATATTTCAACTCTGCCAATGTGATCCAATCTTTAATCAGTGCAGCAGCTTCCCCTTTGTTTAATCGAAAAAACCGAGGAGGTCCTCGAAAAATCATCCAAAAGAAGCAAAATGTATTTGGACCCACCCAGACTCGCTACTGGCATTGGGCCACACAAATCTGCATGGAGTAGCTCAAAGGGCTTGCTTGTCTCTCTGCTAGACCTGGGATATGAGCATGTTTTTACCCTGGATTGCTTACAGGCTCTGCAATCTAAAAACTTATCTCATCCCTTTATAATTTACACCACTCTGTACACTCTGGGGCTTTTTTGACATAATTCCAACAAGAATGCACCAGTCTTCGATGCCATAAATGAGCACACCCATCGTGTGGCGGGACGTTTGAGCACTGCACCTGTGTTACCTCAGGGGGGTCATCATCTGCAATAGGCATCTCAACCACAAACAGCTTATTCTTGCATTCAACACTGAACAGGTGTTTCCCATCCCTGGAATTTCTGGAACCACAAAAGCCTGAACCTCATGGTCCAGGAATGAACAGTACAGAGTCCCAGACAGGGTCAGTGGGCATCTGCTTCCATCTGCCAGTGACACAAATCTTCCACTTTGCACAGTCTTGCAGTTCCGAAGAAGTCCAGCTGATGGCACTCAAGTGTGGGTAGCGCCTGTGTCAACAATAAAGGGGAGGCTGGCTTCTGGTCTGGATGCTTTCACTACTGCCATTGAAGCAGCCAGATGATACGTTGACGTCTTCTCTTTACTTTCACCTCGGTTGGGACCTTGGGAATTTTTCATATGCCTGGCCGCTGTTGAGGAGCTCCTTATCTGCATTCCTTTCTGGCTGACCTTCGGCTCCTGAGCCTCTGCAGGGCAATCTCTCACGAGATGCGACGTAGACCCACAGTGAAAACAGCGCTTGGAGACAAAGGCTTTTACTGAGTCCTCACTGCTTCTTGCTGTCCCCCCTTTCTTGGGGTGCAGCCTGTGCCTTCTCTCCCCGCCCTCTGGCGTTTTTCCTGTTCATCAATCGATCTCCCATGAATATATTAAGTCGTCAGCTCCGCAGGCAGCATAACTTCCATTGTCAGAACCAGGTTCTCATAACTCCTGTCCAAAGAGCTCAGCAGAGTGGAAGCTTTCAGCTCACCTGGGAAAGGTAAGTTGAGCTGACGCAGCTTAGTGAAAATGGCCAGCATCTGCACAATGTGGTCACGTACCGATTCCCCTGGGGACAGTTTCTTCTGAAACAGGGAGCGTATCACATGGATCTTGACTCCAGCTGTTGTGCACTGGTGGACCCTCGTTAAAGTTTGCCAAATTCCATGACAAGTCAATAAACCGTCAATGTGAGGCAATTGCGAAGCCTCCATGGCCATTTCAATATGAGACATGGCTTTCTGATCCTTTTTTGCTGCGCCAGCAGCCCTTTCCACTTCGGCCGCATTGGCCCCTGCAGCTGCCGGTACTGGATCGGCTTGGGGGCACTCCCAGAGCTGCTTGCCCATTAAGCAGTAACGAATCTGGCAAGACCAGTCGTCCCAATTGTGGCCATTTAGCCTTTCAAAAGGCACATTGAAAGATTCATGAGATTGCTGCTGTGCCATCTTCCTGGGGCTTTAAGCTTACAGACGCTTTCTGCCGGCCGGTGCTTCAAAGATGCTTCCTGTAGCAAGCTCCGCTTTCGCCAGCGAAATCACGACTGCCTCAGCTTCAGGCAGGATCTCAGAGCTGGACTTTGCTTCTCACACTCAGCACAAAAACGTACAGCCAGAACCGCTTGGATTACTGCCTGAGTCCGGCACGTTTCCTCTGCACATAAATTCTTCCAGGCAGCAGCAGAGCGAGCAGCGAGTGCTTTCCGTGTGAGATAAAGGGGAAGTCTGCATGCTGTTTCTTCTATATAAACAGCCTTTATTTACATCAGTAGGTAAAATAACAAACAACCTTCGGACACATGCTGTGTGTCTCTCTCTCCCGGACAGAAGTGAAACTGTTTCACACAGACAAAGAACCTGCAGCTTCCCTTTACGTAGGAAGCTCCTCCCCAGATGTAGGACATTCAGGAGGTTAACCCTATTATCACCACACTCCACAAGGGCTGCCTTCAGATGTCTTCTAAAAGTCTGGTAGTTTTTTTCCCCTTTGACATCTGCTGGGAGGGGGTTCCACAGGGCAGGCGCCACTACCAAGAAGGCCACTATCAAAAAGGAAACTCCCATCTCCGTCTGAAAATCATCTGTAGCAACAATTATTCATAATTTGCACTCCAGAATAAACCCAGCTGTATTTAGTATCCAGCCTTTTTCCTCCTCTTCACCAAG